TAAGATCCCCTTACCGGTCATCTTTAGGAAAAAAAAGAAGGCTGAGCGTGGTGCTGACAAGAGAGTGCGGTGCTGATAACACCAAGGCCAAGGGTTCGGATCCCTATATAGGGATGGCCGGTTCACTCACTGGCTGAGCGTGGTGCTGACAACACCAAGTCAAGGGTTAAGATCCCCTTACCGGTCATCTTTAGGAAAAAAAAGAAAGAAAAATATCAACCAAGAAAACACTAAGATGGCAGAAAGAAAGAAATAATAAAGAGAAAATTAGATATTCATCGAATGGGGGCAAAAGAAGCAGTAAATAACACCAATAAGACTGACATTTTGTTCTTTGATGAGACTAATAAAAGTGATAAATCTACATCAAAATTCAACATGAAAAAATTAAAAAGCTTTCTAGAATATGACAGCACTGGCGTAATTTTTTAATCTCCTTGAATTCCTGCATGAAAGCAAACGGAATACCTAGATAACAAAACACGAAATCCATAGACAACACTTGCAACAAAACTAGGTTATCCACAAATCTCAAATAAAAGTCGGTTCAGACAAGCCAATAGCCACATGACTTGCATGGACTAGTGTCTGGGGAGGAAACCAAGGTAGGTTTACAGAGCATTTAATGTTTATGAGAACAGCAGAACATACCTTCTTAACTCCTCTCTGTAGAAAAACATCCAAGAATGGAATCAAAATTGAACAGGCCAGGGATAAAAGTGATAAGGATATAAAGCAAATCCAGACAAAATTTGGGGGTCAGAGAGGAAAAATGATTGAAGAACAGAGCCTGGAAATCCCAGGAAAAAAGTTTCCATATTTGATAACTATATTAGAACAATAGAAGAGGAATTTATGTTAGAAGAGAAATACTGAACTGTTGTGAACAATTTTGCATAAGAATGAGCAAGAGAAAATTATCGAAGTCGAATTCCCTACAAGTTAATTATAAGAAAAAAATAATAATGAGCAAAATACTGTCCCTGTAGACAATAAAACCATAATATAAAGACATGCCCATAAACAGCTCAAACTGTAGTATATTGTGCAAAATGAGTCAAAGGACATTAAAAATCACATAAGGTTGAAATAGCATCATAAATAAGAATTAGAAAAACTCAGAAATGAGGTTCTGAAACTCAGGAAAGAGTTTGCCTCAGTAACAATAAGCATCTCTGGAGTCTAGATTATGTCCTTCAAACACCATTTCCCAATAAGTAAACTAGGGCTTCTTCGAGAAAATAGTTGACTTGGAATAGGAAGTGTACAAGATGACCTCGAAGCATCTTGTCATACCTGAGAACAAGGACGCTTGCCAAAGTCTACTAGGGTCATGTCAAAAAGAACCAATGGGTCAACTTGAAAAAACTCCCAATGAGCACAGTTGAGACAGGTGGGCTACAGTAAGAATTATAATTGTAATGAACTGAAATCCATCAAATGTGTTTAAATCTTGAGTTCATAACGACGTTTTAAAAATCATAATTGGTCACCTTAAGAGGATGATAGAAAATCAATTAACTATATAAAAAACTAATAAGTAAAGGTTAAGAATCAAGCATTTATCTTGCCTTTTCCCTATGAATTGTACCACTGGGTAACCAAATAATACAGAAAGGAAAGTATCTCCTATTCCAACTCATGAATTAAAAATAGCGATTTTGCAAACTGGATGAATTAATGGATCTAAGCAATGAACGTCAATGCTGCTTACATCATAAAAAGAGAGAGACCCAGACATTATATGCCTCCTGATGAAAGTATCCAACACCACCTATGGCCTCGCCAAAGGGATCAAACCTGAGTCTGTCTAATGAAACCTCTGGATCCAGCTGCTAATTTGTGGGAAATAGAGAACAGAGGAACACATTGAGTGTGCACTCACCAATCCAGATGCCCAAGAACTACAGGTCAAATGGTCCAGGTTCTCCCATTGTAAGGGGATTAAAAAAGGGTAACCTATAGATTAAAAGACATTGGCAAAAAATCAGCTAGATTCACCCATTGGTGCATCCTTCAGGTCCGAATTATTCAACCACAAATAACTCCACGCAAATTGAGTTGAGTTTCCAGGCTCTTAAATTGTGTTTAAGTGCACATTTTGGAAACTTCTTTTAAATTAAGAGTTTAAGACTTTAATAATATCATCTCTGTATTGTTTGGACATTTAAATTTATTTGATTTTGATCATTACTTATTCAGTCAACGAATTGTTATCTGGTGGAGTTGAATGTTTTAGATTTACAAACAAAATAAAACCAGAAAAAAAGTCTTTTTCAACTAATCTTTGTTTTTTTCAGTGCAAACTCTATGTAAATGTGTCACCCATACCCTTCTTAATTCCTACATCTATGATATGTTTAGATCCAGAATGAGCAATCACTGACTCCTTTCATAGCTGTAATTTACAATTTCAGATCTAAAATTACCTACCATGCAATGAATCTCTCGATATGCATTTGATCATTATTTCAGGTGATTGTCAGTATCTTTTGGAGCCAGAAGAGGGCACTGCAGAGCAGTGGAGCTCTGAATTTTTTGTGATTAGCACAGTCTGAGAAAGTCTTTTGCTAAAAGAAATATGCAAAGCTTTACTACAGAAATAAGAAAAACTGAGAGGATAATCAAATAATTACTATAGGATTTCTTTATTTACTAGAAAAAATAACAGTTTAAATAAATAACCACCTCAATACGTATCTAATATATCAGATATATGTGTGTGCATGTATTTATACTTTTTTGTTTCAAGAAGATCCCAAAGCTGAATGTGAAGTTTTTCTATTACAATATTTATTCTTCTGCTACTTCTGATATTAGTCATAAAACAATTCTCAAGTCCTACCTTGTACAGATTAATACTGTATTTTGTTTTCATCAGTTCAAGTTCAGGACAGAGGAGATTTGGTAGCCTGTTCAATCTTATGCAGTACAGAAATTATTTAGGAAACAATATACTGGATATTATCCCAAAGGTTTTCCTAGCATGAGAGTATGTTTTAAGTTTCAGCTGCTCATTTGCAGGTGCGGTAGATAGGGGATTGAATTCAGATTGCCACCTTACACTAAGGAGAGGATGGCTAAGGCATGTCACCATTCTCTGAAGATGAAATAAGGGTGGTGGGATCTGTAGTCCTCTCCCATAACTCGCTGTCACGGGGCCTCTGTCACCTGAGCCTTCTCATGACCGGGTATGTTCTTAGGTGTTAAAAGAGCAGAAACTCCACGATGGCGGAGCCCTTCAGCTGATTCTGCTGTCTCCCAAAGCCACCCGACACAGCATTCTTTAAGAGATGTGCTACCAGCTGGGGAGGTGAAATCAATGCCAAAGTCATCTCTTCAAGAGAGGGGAGACGATGTCAGAAAGTTTCGTGATACGTCATTGTAAATAGTCTTTTGTATGCTACCATGAAATGTAATTTCTAAGTAAACGACATCCATTCTTGTTTTCTTGCCCACACATTAATTTATTCCCCTAAGAGTTCTGGTGCCTGTTGAAACCAATTCAGTTTTTCATTATTGGGGAAAAACTGAGTGCGCCACCTTTCTTAATGGGGGCGAATGGCCAGTGCGTTCGATGATCCTGTCCTACATTACAGATCTGCTGTGAAATGTGTAAACTATATTGCTAACTATGATGTTATCCAGGTTTTCAGTTGTGGCTGAAAAGACCGATGTGTGACTCCTGTTCTTTTCCAGCTCTGGTCATATGGACATACTTGTTGACATTATAGCATTTTTATTTGCAGACTGGGGCTCTGTACCTTCACTTGTCTGACTCTTGTTGAGAAGAAACTAGGTGGTCAGTTTTTATTGGTTACAGAGTTTTCTGTCTCTTGCTCATTTTTTTTTCCTCCCTCGATTTTGTTTGAAATACAATACGCCTTACAGCGTTTCCTCTACGTACCTTGCTTAAAGACCCACCAAGCACAGCACTTCTACGGATAATTTGCACTGATTTAACTGGCCCTGTGCATGTGTTTTCAACTTCAGTCCTTCGCTCCCTGCTGCCTTTGCCTATGGAAATCTTAACCATCCCTTAAGGCCCAATACAACTTCTACTTTTCAGTGAAGTCATTGCTAACTATTCTGGACACACTTTCCCCCAACCAAAGTGCGATAGCCCCTCTCATTTTTTCTACTGTATGTAACGTCTAGCACTTTACTGTCTCCTTTATTGTACTTTTCACTGATGATCGCATGTGTCCTAGCCTTGGCTTTCTAACTAGGCTATTCTAGAAACCAAAAACTCTGATTCCTATTTACTCGATATCTCTGATGGTCCCTGATATCATTCTTAGTGCTACATCTAATCAAATCTATTGATGAAAGCAAACAGATCATTCTCCGCTTACTACCTTTAGTCCGACTTCCAGAGTTCCACTTTCTACTTATCTATTATGAATCTTGCCATGGTGATGCTCGTCCCCGTTCTCTCGCTGCCCTTTTCCTGCCCACCTTGACTCCTTGTACACCTGTCACCAAGCCAGCTTTTAAAACTAGCAAGCAGGACAGAGCTGAGTCTGGGGAGTGTATCTTCTGGCTTATAGTCAGCTTCCAGGATTTTTGTTTTCCTCAGTCCTCTTCTCTGAAGTAATTTTATCATTGCCAACCAGGAAAAAACCTTGAGTACCCATGTCATTTGTCCCCTTGCCTGTAGGCAAAACAACTCCTAAACTCGTCACTCAGATTAGTATTGGGTCACAGGCCAAGAACCTGCAGTAGACATAATGTGAAATAGAGAACGCTGCACCAAACAGTGACAGATAAGGACAGATATCGTCCCATAGCTGTGACATGTGGCCCCCAAAGTGTGTTGCAGTTCAGCCCAATAAAATTAAAATTGAAAAGAGTGTCAAATAATATAATCAACTGTATGATTCTGCTTTAATGAAAACATTCATGTTTAATGTTTTAACAATATCATCTATTTAATGATTTGTCCGTGTGTTATTTATTCCTTCATGTTCCAAAACTAAAGTCATACTCTTAATTTTCAGCTTCGCAAGTCTGTTTTCAGCATCAGGGCAAGGAACCTTCTGGAAAAGGAGACTGCAGTCACTAAAATATTAAGGTAACACCAATAAACGATACATATTTAAACACAGCTGGGATTATTTTTAAGCAAAAAATGAACTTTTTAAAAAAATGAACTAATTTTCTGGGCATCAACATGTACTTTCTGCTAGAAATTAGGTTTGAGTATCTATGTACTTCTAAATAATGTCAAAGACACTATTAATGTCTTTCCTGAAAAAGAAATATTTTATTAGCTCAATAGGCAATTTCTTTTCATGTATTTAAACATAAATTATAAGTATAAACATTTACAAAAAAGTGAAAATAACTTTTATTCTTAAGTTTTATATCTTCTGTGATATCTAAAGGAGAAATCAAAATCTAAAGGAAAAATGGTAAAAGAATAAACATTTGTTAATATGTTAAGAATAAATTTATTAAAAATATACTCAGAATAGAAAGCATGCCCATCTTAGAGTGCTTATAATATATATAATTTTAATGCTACTTTCTAAAATATGCCTTGAAATGAAGTATCATAAGAAAATTTAAGCTACCCACTTAAGAGTATTTTATAAGACTGTATGTTATAATATACAGCAACATGATCAGTATAAAAATGCATGAGAATTTAGAGTATCATTTATGGTGCATATATTACATAAACATATGTAAATGACACAACTAAATATTGGAAGCTGGAGGAGGATCACTGCCAAGACAAATGGACAAATTCACACCAAGAAGTCGTCTCCAAACTTGTGGTAAGTGGAAGGCACTAGGCTCTCACCTGCTAGATTCATAGTTAGGAACAGTCATACAGTCATTAGAGCATTTTCCCCAGAATGTATATTCCCGGAACTTGGAAAACTGTAATTGTAAAGCAATAATTTGAGAAGCTATTTTTGCTTTATAAAACTACCTGAAATTTGTGTGTGGCAGTATTCTGTGTATTCACTCTGTACTCGTGACATTGACACGCAGCATCGAGCGTGTATTGGAGTAACTTTTACGAGATGAGAATAAACGTTTCTGGGGCTTCTGTATCGCCCCCACAAAATATGATGAGATAAACATAAAAGGCCTTATTGAAATAGACAACCTACATCCCAGCTTAGGTTTGTTTCCAAGCGGCTGGTCCTTTCTGGTATCACCATCAGATCAGGCCATAAGGCCGGCCTTCAACACTACATGGTACCTCAGGATCGTTACTCGAGCTGTAACTATACTGGACAAGTTCATGGTAGGGTGATCAGAAATGCTACAGAAATGTTGATCCATTCACTGGACAGAGAAATTTTCACTCAAACCAGAAACTACCCGCAAGGGGATTATCATACTCTGAGAATTTGTACTGAGAATCTACCTGTCAAATCAGGGACCAAAATGACCTTACTCACTTATCCAGAACAACTGCTTTTCAGCAAGTGTGAATGTGCTCTAGGGGTACCCAAAGACAGACCCAGGTGTGAATGTGCTCTGGGAGTACCCAGAGACTTCCCAAGGCAGAAGCATAAATAATACTTATAAGGAAAACAATTCCAGCCCTTACTTTCCCTATGAACTTTCTTAAATTTGATCTGCCACTTTTCCTTTTCCACTCTTCTTTCCTTGTTTACCTCTCTCTCAGTTTACAAAAGTGAAATTCTCACCCATCCAGAAACTACAGTGTGTATTGATCTGGGATATAAAATCCTTTGTGTTGTCAAGCAAAGGGATCATTTCCATGTGGCCTTCTCCAGAAGAAGGGTCCATTGGGCAACACATTATTTATCCAGATGCCATTTTCTTGGAAAACTCCTTCCAAGAATTTGTCTACCTTAGAGCTTGGCCTTAGAAATGACATGGTTGTCACAAGGGCACGTTATTACATATTATTTGACCTGAAAAATAAAGCCAGACTTTTTCTGACAGATTCAGCTGATTGGTTTGACAATGAAAACGGACTTAATAGGTGCACGATGTTATGAAATTGAATGGATTGGATGGATGAGACTGTCCAATGTTTTCTCAGAATTGTTTTCAAGCATACACACAATATGCTAGAAATTACATCCTTTACTGCTATTTGACATGATGAGGGGAACATTTAGTTGTCGATTTTTAAATATACAGTAATTAAAAAAAATGTATGGCGTACATGAGCAAAATTTTTAAGACTACAAAGGAATATGGACCCCCTCAAACTTTCCCAACAATTGTGTAATTTGGGGGATACCCAGAGCCAACAGTGTTTTACTACAGCCCATCAAACTACAAAATAAGAGACAGCTCCTTGGTACTGCCTGAGCTGTGTTACTCTGAATCTCGGGAAATAAAAGGCTACTATTGGGGGGGGGGGGGGGGGGGGGGGGGGGGAAACAGGATTTTTTGAAAACATGTATTTGATCTTTAGAAAGCCATGTGGCATTTTTC